CTCCATTGATTCTCCAATAAATTGGAACATCCTAGATAGGTCAGTCATAGTCATCTCTGGCTTGATTTTGTAAAATTGTTGATAGAACATCTCTTCATCTACTGATAGGAATGAACAGAATCAAGTTGCAAGCTGATACACCAAGTAAAGATAGTTCCTATCAAGGAATTTGCTACTAGCCTTAACTTGAGAAAACATGTGGTGCCATGAACAGGATATTCATCGGTTGAGGCATTAACGACCCTTATTGCTCGAAAGGGTCATGAATTGAATGCGAGGAAGAGAGATAAACAATTGGCGGACCATTATATGCCCTTCATCATACTATCCACAGGGGAAGGGACACCCCGGTGGTGAAGAAAATGGGACAAGGCATGATGACATATTTGAGAAAGATGCACCTCAGAAGCACAGGGTGATCCACGAGAGAAGGCAGGATAATCATTCACGCATTGCATTGTGAACCTTGCAATGTTCTCCACGGTGGATTGATTATTTTCGACGAAGAACAAGACAAACTAAAGCACCTTGTACCTCTTAGGTTACTCATAACCCCTATCGATAACTTGGGGATAGGTTGTGCCTACCAATTCGCGTAAATGCATGATGAGACTGTTCCTGAATAAGGTCCATTACCTATTCTATGTTCATGACTAAGTTGGGTTGGTACGCTCCTCAAGGAGCCTGATTTCCCTCTTTGCTCTAGAAATGTAGTAACGAGAAGAGGGTTGAGCCTCCCCATCCTCCTTAAGATTAGCTATTTGGTGTAGGTTGTGGCCCAAATCCCTGGTTGTTCTAGTCATCTCTTATCTCCAACAAGGTTGCCCCCATTCCTCACTAGCTGTGTTAAAATTTACATCACCTACCACCCATTTACCATCACCTACCACCACCTACTCCTCACCTACTCCTCACCTACTACACTCACCCTCTCCTATATAATGAGCCACTCACTATTTGTAATAAACACACAACATTCATCAATCAATAATATATATATTTTTAACAAGCTGGGGGCAGTACCGGCCCTGGGCTAAGCTGGGGGCAGTACCGGCCCTGGGCTAAGGCCAATGAGGCCCCAAAATAGGGGTCTCAAATTTAGTAAAGTGTTATAGTATATTATAAATTTAAATTAACCCAAATTATTTTTGTTATTTTAGGACCAATTCAAAGGGCCCAAAAATATTCTGTTGAATCATATTTATTTATAAGTGTGATTTGGCCCAATTAAAATTAAAATATTTACATAAAGTGTTAATAGCCAAGGGAGAAGAATAATATATACAAGCTCTCAATCTCTCTCTCTCACAACGTGACGAAGGAAAGGAAGCATACCAAGCATAAGCAGAGCACTGAGCAGCGATAGAAATTAATTAGAACTTATCAATGGTAGCAACTATTTCTCTTTCTCTTTCAGTAAGTCCTCTCTCTCTCTCTCTCTCTCCCTCCCTCCCTCCCTCTTACTATCAGATTTTAATGAAATAAATAAATTTGTCGTAATTTTTTTCTTCCTTCTTTCTTTATCAGATTTTAGTGGAATAATAAATTTCTCCTAATTTTCTTTTTTACGTTCTTTATTTATCAGATTTATTGGAATAAATAATTTTTCCCTAATTGTTTTGCCCTAGTTTTGTTTCATTAAATTATTTTTTATATTTTCTATACTATCAGATATGAAATAATCAGTGGATTGTGATTTGTGAATTGAATTGTGATTATAATCATGTTTTCTAGTAAGTATAATTCTAGAAATGAAAAAAGAAAGAAGAAGCTGAAAGTAGAACAATTAATTTAATCTCAATCGGGAACACTTGATAAATAAAAGAAACAAGTAGATTTGTTTGTTTCACACTGCTAGAACATTCTAATAATTAAATTTGTTAATTAATTAATTTGTTTTGTTGATTTGAACTATACCTTACGGTAAATTTTTTTTTATTTTTTTGTACTCTAAAATGAATACATTTTGACATCTATTTTGGTATTAATCGCCGGTAGTTTTTTTTTTTTTTTTGATACTCTAGAATGAATACATTTTGATATCTATTTTAGTATCAATTGCCAGTAGTGATATCAAACATGGTGTTTTTATTCATTTATTTATTTATGAATATGAACCCTTTTTTTGATTTCGCCTTATGCCCCTAAAAATTCAGGACGGGCCTTGTGCTAGGCTTGGGGGCCGACCATCAGGGTGTTTCGACAATGAAGCCTGAAAAATGCCTTGGAGTGGTTGCTATAAAAATAAAAACTTTTACTATAAAAATAAATAAAACCATATATAATATAAACAAATAAAAATTTAAATAAACTTTACCTGTGAACCCATTAAAGATTTCAGCCCTTGTCAAATGTATATAAAGGAAGCAATTTTATTTTTTCACTTTAATTTTTGTCTTGTCACTATTTTAGAAAAAAAAAAATTTGAGGGATAGCAATGGATTATTTGAAGACTGAACAATGAATTGCTATGAAGAGAGAGAGAGACACAGAGATGCCATGAAGAGAGAGAAGAGAACCATGAAAAGAACGAGTTTGAAACAGCTTTTAATAGAGAATAAAGGGATTATTTTATTGACTTTTGTTTTGCATATGGAAATCTGAGGTCAACTCGTTTGCTTATCGAATTTATTTATTGAGTTCAAGCTCAACTCAATAATTAAATGGGTTCAAGTTCGGTTTTTCTTGATTTGATAAGATTTTTTTAAATATTATTTATATAATATTATTTAAATAAAAAATATTATTTATATAAATATTTATTTTAAATAATATATTTATTATATAATTTAAATAAAGATAAACGAGCTGAATTTATTTGAGTTTGAAATCGTTTCATTTACTAAACGAACATAATATTCGAGTTCAAGTTTGACTCGTTTACTAAACGAGCTAAGCCGAACCCTTAATAAGTCAAACTGAACTTGTTCTGAACAGTTCAAATCATTTGCCATCCTAAAAAAGTGTATTTAATGCTTTGATCCTTGCCCTCTTTATGGAAAAGTTGAGATAGCAATTAATGCTCCATTTTCAACTTCCTTTCTTCTTTGGCAGTATTTTTTTTGGGGGCCTTGTGTATATTAATTAAATAATAACTTATATATATATACAAACATATATATCATGAAAATGGGGCCTCCATTGTTTTGGGGCCTTAGGTGAGGGTTTTAATGGCCTCCCCTTTAAGCTCCTTCGCCAAATTTAGATTAGGACTGTCTGATTTCTTAAAGTGGGCATCCAATGAATGGAAAATTTTCTGAGAAAATATTCACTTAAAGAACTATGTGAGCCAAATTTAGACTAGGACTGTTGATTTCTCATAGTGGACATCCAATGAATGGAAAATTTTCTGAGAAAATATTCACTTATGGCATGTTTGATTGGAAGGATTAGAGTATGAGATTAGGATTATTAATTCGCGGGTTCAATTATCCTATGTTTGTTTTGACATTTTGTTTAGAATTATCAATCCAATGGATAATTAATCCAACAAATTTGTAGGATTATTAGTAATGGGGTAGGGGTGAGATTGTGAATACCACACTAATTTAATTGGATTATTAATACTTCACTATTAATCTTGTGGAATCAAACATGGCCTTAAAGAACTACGTGAACCATCCCGCCATTCCCAACCGAAGGAAGGAATGGAGAAAGGATTGAACCCGAGGAAAGACGTGTCATTCGAGCTTCTTTGGATTGAAGCACTTCATTGCACTCCCTAAAAAGTGCTTTGCAAGTGGTTACCTTTAGGTGGCTTTCCTTAGGGATTGGTTGTAATGATAACTTTTCAAATTCTCTGTCACATTTGGCAGACCTTTTGGATTCAACTGTGTCTCTGGGCCTCGAGACAGGTCTAATCTTGAACTATTTGGAGAAACATCTCTAATGGTTTAGCCTTGAATGAAGTTTTTTCCTCTTCATCTACCAGTTATTTTGTCACTGGTGCATGCCTAACAATCCCACCAAGCATGCCAAAATTGTTTGCACCACACAAGGAACAATGAAACACCCAAGCATTGAATGTATTGATGCACGAGCATGCCAGGACTTGTGCCGTAGTCCCAGATACAAATTTTTTGCTGCCAAGTAGGAATTGATTGTGCGTGGCCAAACGGACAGACTACTGGCTCAGATTTTAACTCAATGAAGAGAACTTCTACAGCTTGCTAAGGGTGAAAATAATTGAACTCAAATGATGATTGTGGAAAGTAAGGAAAATTGGACTTGCATTAATGAATAATGAAACACAACTGAACCATGAAAATGACTAAACATGGTGTTTTTATTCATTTATTTATTTATGAATATGAACCCTTTTTTTGATTTCGCCTTATGCCCCTAAAAATTCAGGACGGGCCTTGTGCTAGGCTTGGGGGCCCGACCATCAGGTGTGCATGCATAGTGACACAGACCCAAAATGGGTACAAACAATAACATCACATTGATATGATGCAAATTAATTCTTCAACGTATATTCTACTATCCAATCAAGTCGTAGTTGGAAACAAGTGAATCTGATTATACCCAATCAAGTCCTAGTTGGAAAAGTGAATCTGATTTCTCTGCCATAATTTTCCTGTAATGATCTTATTACAATTTTTATCATAAGAAGACATGTCAACAAAATACATAATTCTATGGTTCAAATTAAAACTAGAGTAAAATGACATTAAAACCATTCCCTAAAATGACATAATTTTACTTTAACTTTAAACATAGGCCATAGGATTACCACTACAAGACCATCACAACGAATCCTAATCCGAAACAAGTGTGCTTGTTCCCAGTGGATAAGGCTCTGATCTGCCTCATAAGAGCCGTGTTCAATCTGGCTCCCATAGGTTAGATATACGGATGTCGAAAAAAAGAAAGGCAAAAAAAAAAAATCATTATAGATAAATAAGATCTAAAATTTAACAATAACATAGAAGCCAAGCACTTTTAATGTCAAGAGCCAGCTTGACAACAATCCATCATCTGAGAACTGCTAATTCCTAATGTTGAAATGCACAGGTGATACTCAATTTTAATAGAAGGTATACAATTTCAAACATATACAATGTATAATTACATTATAGTACAATGTATATCATCAGTTGCAAGTCATTTACATGTATAATTATATTATAGTACACCAGACTGGGTGGGTATCAATGAATAGATTTTACACGTGTTGCAATGGGAAGAACGGAGAGTTTGGTATTCTGAAATTGTTAGATATTGTGTATGTTGGAGAGTCATTCTGATTTCCTTTCAACTTCCAAAACAATCTCATTACGACGAGTAAATGGAAGAGTAAATGGCGGATTGTACTGCAAACACATTTAGAAAAGTATGAAAATATACTTGATTCTCTGAGGATCAAGTTATTAGAAACTCCATCATCAATTTCTATTGACATGTTATCAAAAAATCTACCTGTGCAACTTCCACCAATGCATCCTCTTTTACTTGAAACTGTGGGTCATTCTTTAAAGCATCTCTTAATATTGATTCCCTACGTGTAACTTCTTCATCAGTGACAAAACCTGATTCAAAATAACAAAATAAAAGAATCAACTCATCACTGGAACTCAATTTATTTATGATCTACAATATTGTTTGTACTTTGTACCTTTAACTGTAATGAACAATAGGCATATACCGAAGCTAAGAGTTTTTCACCAGATTTTGTGCTGTACCAATTGGTTCTTTTACCACAATATAAAAGAATGTGAGCGTTATTTATGCATGATAACTTGGCATTCTAGATTGTCTCGAAAGAAAACAATTAACAGCTTGCATAAAAATTGATACAAAAAAAGGTCTAGTTACGTGTGTTAGATCACCAATTTTTCCAAAAGCTTAAAATTGTTAGGAAAGAGGTCTAACAATGCATATCAAGCTCTTCAACATCCTCCCCTCACATGGAACTCGTCTTACATATGGAGATGCAAACATCCGAACATGCAGAGAAACAGAATGTAAATGGGGAAACAAATGCTAATGGGCATAGGTGGCACCACCTTAGACAAAATGGGATCAGTTGACCCCATCAACCACTTAAAAAAAAATTAATAATAATACTAATATGAGTCTTGCTAACAAGTGTCCTTAAAGCACAAGAAAAAGATAAAAATAATGGATAGATCATGAGACATTGATCACTAAATTCAAAACACTTTATATGGATTTCAAAAAAGCTTTTTTAACCTTTTTACAATTTTTCAAGACACTTGTTATCACATTCCCAATATTAACAAGTGCTCGAGGGGCATTTGTCTAACATTTGCCTTTTAATATTAGTCTTGTTTATTTGCAGCCATTGGTTTGTTTGTTGTACTCGTGTTTTTGTTTGTTACACTCGCTCTCCTAATGTCTCACATACAAATTTTGAATTTTGCAATACAACCATGCTAGGGCCCAAGAACTCGCACAAAAAATTTACCAAGGAAGACATTATGTGGTCTAGATTCAATTCTTGCATAGAATCTGCACTTAAAATGAATCTAAATCTTCTCTTCCTTTTTTTTTTTTTTGGCTGTATTTTTCTGTGTTGAGTTCTTGGTCTCTAGCATTAATGTTTACCATAATCTTTTCAATAAGTTAAAACACATCACATCAGCCCCAGTTTTTACAATTACCCCTTTTATGGATATCACATAATTAGGGTTCTAATTTCACTAATGAGGATTGAGCTTCTGTAAAATTAGGGAGAAAGAAATTGCATTGAGTTGTTTTTCTTAGATCACCCCATCAGATAAAAATTCTAAAACCGCCACTTACAGAGAGACTTGAGCTCAAGACCTGTCATAATTTGAGTTTTGATACCATGTTAGATCACCAATTATGCTAAAAGCTTAAGTTGTCAGGAAAGAATTCCAACCATGCATACCAAGCTCGTCAACAGTATATACTTCTTGAATGCCTCCACATATGTCAATTGCTAATGCAATATGACTACCAAAATGTCCATTTGGGATTGACTTTTCCAATTTTAGGATAACCTCCCCACCACTTCCATTTTGCGGTACTTAACCTCTCTGATTTTGATAATCAACAGAAAATTAACAGATCTAGAATTATCATACTGCTTCCTAGATTTTCAATCTGTAAGCCTTCTCCAGTTTAAGGTATGACAAACCTGAAAAGGCAGCAACAGCAACGATTTTCTTTGGCACCTCTTTGATCTTAACAGATGGATCTTTGGGCAGAGGCAAGTTGGAACCGTACTTAGAGGGCATGACGAAAGACATCTGCCACTTTTCTTCATCATCCAGCTAAAGAAAATTGTAAGTAGATTAGATAACAATGAAATATTAAACAGAAGTACTAAATTTAAAAAAAAACAAATGTGAACCAATGAATCCATGCATGCAACCAGCAAATTAAATTATTAATGTTGTTGCATGCATTGGCAGCTGTTTTCAGTCAGCTTGATCATCAGATAAATTATCAAACAGTTGTAAATAAATATCACATTGGATTAAGCCATTTGGTTGAATTAAGCGAATACAAAATATGTTAATGAGCATATGCATCGTTATTGCTCACTAACTAGTAAAAGTTATTACGTGATCAACCACATCATTAACAGTCTTCTACTTATAGCAGATCATTTCACTACAGCGTATGAGGGTTTTATGGACCAAACTTCTTGGTCCGCAAAAGTGAAAATTTTGTTGCAAAAAAGTTAGGAGACCGGTTCCTATCATCAGGGTAGTCTGCATTAAAAGGTCATCCGAAAAATCAAAAAAGGATCTTTAGTGATAATTTTGAAAATGTCGCTAATAAATGTATTTTTAGGGACTAAACAATTTTGTGCCAAAAATATTTACTTTTTCAAACAAAAATTTTGGTCCAAAAGTATAGTAATTCATCACTGAAAGTCCAATAAAAAATTCAATGACACTTTTGGCAACTAAGATATTTTGTCCCTAGAAAGTGATGTCGTCCCTAAATTTATGTCTCTAAAAATTTCCCATATGGATTATGTGACTTGTCCTCTTCTCTAGCCAACACTGTCAACCCTTCCCAGAACACAATATAGATGGGACCAGCAGTAGGTAATGTTCCATTCGATTTATCACACCAAAATAGCCCACATTGACACACACACACACACACACACATATACATGCTGATTTAATAATGATTCATTGGCCATATAATTATATATTTACTTGTAGCAATTGAATAGTCGATTTGACACAATCAAATCATCAAAATCAGCTTCCCACAAAAGAAATAAATGCAAATCATTGGAATTCGTGATGACTCCATGGCTATGAAGCATGGACACTCCATTTTCATTATGGTGGTAGCTGTGTTTGACATGCGTCAAACATCGACACACATCAGACACACCAGGACACATGTTGGACAAGCCACATGGACATTCAATATGTTTTCTTGGATACATTTGATGAGAAGTCAAGGACATGCGTATCCCAAGTTGGGACAAGCCACAAAACACATTCGGGATTTTATTATAATTTTATAAAGTTGGTTTTCTTGTCGAAGTATTGTATTTACTGTTCGGAAACAAGAGGGTGGAAATTAAAAGAACAAAAACAAAAACAAAAAATTTCCTTCTAATGTATTCAATCTTTGATATCTCTAATCTATTCCCTAAAATTCATTTGAGGCAGATCTTGGAAAAATCAGTTACCCATCTCATTATTTGCTTCCATTTAATCTACGCTCTAGTGTTCTTATTATTTGGAAAAATCGATATCCCTAATCTATGCCCTATTGTTCTTATTATTTGCTTCCATTTATGTTGGCTCTGTAGAATTTTTTGTACAATCTTTTGGTAAATGTAACACCTATGAAGCATGGGTACTTTGAAAAACATGCCGTACTCGTACCAGGTACTTACCGGCGTATGGTACCTCGTATGGTACTTCTGTATACGTACACACGTACTCAAATTTTTTCTTCTTAATTTTTGGCGTACCTAGACAAACCTAGTATATACTTAAATCGTACCATACCTCAATGTTATACGAACTCTTCAAAATAAATCAAATACCCGTGTCAGACACCCGACACTTGGACAGCTCCTATCATTTGGTAGCCTGGGACCGGATTTGTAGCCCCAAGGTGAATGAGGGTTTGGAGATTCGGAGGTTGGCTGTGTTTAACGTGGCTTTGTTGGGCAAGTGGTTGTGGCGTTTTGTGGAGGAGAGCACCCGTCTTTGAGGAGGGTGGTGGTAGCCAAGTTTGGTGAAGGGAGGGGAGGGTGGTGTTCAGGGCGGGTGGGGCAGTCCCATGGTCTTAGTCTATGGAAAGGGATTTGGCTAAGGTGGGAGGAATTTTGGAGGGTGGTTAAGCTGAAGGTAGGAGTGGGGGATAGAGTTCGGTTTTGGCGAGATAAGTGGTGTGGTGATGTTTCCTTAGAAATGCGGTTTCCTTTGATTTTTGGTATTGCCGTTGATACGGAGGTGCGGGTAGGTGCTGTCCGATTTGGGCACGGGGATTCAACTGTTTAGAATGTGCATTTGCACCGTGCTGTACAGGATTGGAAGCAAGATCAGCTTTTGGAGCTGTTGGGTTTTTTATATGCATTGCATATTGAGGAGGTTGGGCAGGATTCTTTGATGTGGGATTGCCCTAGGGCTAAGGGGAAGTTTTCTGTATCCTCGTTTTATGGTGCGCTTGTTCATGTAGAGGTTGTTGTATTCCCTTGGAGATGTGTTTGGGTGTCAAGTACGCCGTCCACGGTGGCCTTTTTTGTGTGGACGGCCATGTTAGGACGTATCTTGACCTTGGATAATTTGATTCGTCGTGGCCACATTTTGGTCAATTAGTGTTGTTTGTGTTGTGGTGCTACGGAGTCGGCGGATTATTTGTTGGTTCATTGCCCGGTTGCTTCCCGTCTTTGGATGCTTGTTGTTGCAACCTTTGGTTTAGCTTGGGTGCAGCCGCATTCAGTTAAGCAGTTATGCAAAGCTGGGCTGGGGGTCGGATTGGGAGGAGGCGGCGGAAGGCGTGGATGCTCGCTTCTCATTGTCTTCTATGGTTGGTGTGGTTGGAGCGTAATAGGCGTGTTTTTCAAGGAGCGTCTCATTCGGTCCCTTGGTTAGAGAGTCGTCTTCTTACAATTTTGTATAGTTGGGTGACACACTTGGTCAATCCTGATGTTTTGGCTTTTTTAGATTTTACAGAGGATTTGATTTGTTAATTCTTTGAGCTGTGGTGGCTTCCAGTTTTGTATCTTTTTACATCTTCTTGATGCTTTTTTAATAAAGTTTGGTTAATTATCAAATAAAAAAAAAGAGTATGGGATATGTGTCGGATACTTTTCGACGGATACTTCTTATATAATTGTATATAACGCTATTATTATACCAAACCAAACCAAACCTGCTGGAAATTTGTGTTAATGCATATAATAAGATAGTGGCATATGATAGTGGTGTTGGTGGTAGATAGTGGCATGTAAAGAATATGATAGTGGTGTTGGTGGTAGATAGTGGCATGTAAAGAATATGATAGTGGTGTTGGTGGTAGATAGTGGCATGTAAAGAATATGATAGTGGTGTTGGTGGTAGATAGTGGCATGTAAAGAATATGATAGTGGTGTTGGTGGTAGATAGTGGCATGTAAAGAATATGATAGTGGTGTTGGTGGTAGATAGTGGCATATATAGAATATGATAGTGGTGTTGGTGGTAGATAGTGGCATATATAGAATATGATAGTGGTGTTGGTGGTAGATAGTGGCATATATAGAATATGATAGTGGTGTTGGTGGTAGATAGTGGCATATATAGAATATGATAGTGGTGTTGGTGGTAGATAGTGGCATATATAGAATATGATAGTGGTGTTGGTGGTAGATAGTGGCATATATAGAATATGATAGTGGTGTTGGTGGTAGATAGTAGCATGTATATAATATGATAGTGGTGTTGGTGAAGGATAGTGGCATGTATAGAATATGATAGTGGTGTTGGTGGTAGATAGTGGCATGTATAGAATATGATAGTGGTGTTGGTGGTAGATAATGGCATGTATAGAATATGATAGTGGTGTTGGTGGTAGATAATGGCATGTATAGAATATGATAGTGGTGTTGGTGGTAGATAATGGCATGTATAGAATATGATAGTGGTGTTGGTGGTAGATAATGGCATGTATAGAATATGATAGTGGTGTTGGTGGTAGATAATGGCATGTATAGAATATGATAGTGGTGTTGGTGGTAGATAATGGCATGTATAGAATATGATAGTGGTGTTGGTGGTAGATAATGGCATGTATAGAATATGATAGTGGTGTTGGTGGTAGATAATGGCATGTATAGAATATGATAGTGGTGTTGGTGGTAGATAATGGCATGTATAGAATATGATAGTGGTGTTGGTGGTAGATAATGGCATGTATAGAATATGATAGTGGTGTTGGTGGTAGATAATGGCATGTATAGAATATGATAGTGGTGTTGGTGGTAGATAATGGCATGTATAGAATATGATAGTGGTGTTGGTGGTAGATAATGGCATGTATAGAATATGATAGTGGTGTTGGTGGTAGATAATGGCATGTATAGAATATGATAGTGGTGTTGGTGGTAGATAATGGCATGTATAGAATATGATAGTGGTGTTGGTGGTAGATAATGGCATGTATAGAATATGATAGTGGTGTTGGTGGTAGATAATGGCATGTATAGAATATGATAGTGGTGTTGGTGGTAGATAATGGCATGTATAGAATATGATAGTGGTGTTGGTGGTAGATAATGGCATGTATAGAATATGATAGTGGTGTTGGTGGTAGATAATGGCATGTATAGAATATGATAGTGGTGTTGGTGGTAGATAATGGCATGTATAGAATATGATAGTGGTGTTGGTGGTAGATAATGGCATGTATAGAATATGATAGTGGTGTTGGTGGTAGATAATGGCATGTATAGAATATGATAGTGGTGTTGGTGGTAGATAATGGCATGTATAGAATATGATAGTGGTGTTGGTGGTAGATAATGGCATGTATAGAATATGATAGTGGTGTTGGTGGTAGATAATGGCATGTATAGAATATGATAGTGGTGTTGGTGGTAGATAATGGCATGTATAGAATATGATAGTGGTGTTGGTGGTAGATAATGGCATGTATAGAATATGATAGTGGTGTTGGTGGTAGATAATGGCATGTATAGAATATGATAGTGGTGTTGGTGGTAGATAATGGCATGTATAGAATATGATAGTGGTGTTGGTGGTAGATAATGGCATGTATAGAATATGATAGTGGTGTTGGTGGTAGAT